CCAAAATGTTGAAACTCCATCTCTACTAAACATACAAAAATTAACTGGGCATGGTGGTGGGCACCTGTAATCCCAGCTGCTCAGGAGGCTAAGGCAGGAGAATCACTTGAACGTGGGAGGTGGAGGTTGCAGTGAACCAAGATCAAGTCACTGCACTCCAGCCTAGGTGACAGAGCAAGACTCCACCTCAAAAAAAAAAGAATTCAATATCCAGCTAAGCTCTTCTTCAGAAATGAAGGACAACCTAAAAAGGCTGATCATAGAAGTAGAGAGTAGAATAGTGGCTACTAGAGGTTGGGCAGGAGAAGGAGAAGGGAGTATTGGAGGATGTTGGTCAATGGGTACAAAGTTACAGTTACAAAGAGTAAGTTCTGGTGAGCAACAATGTAATGTCTATTTTACAATAGCTAGAAGAGAAGTTTTTGAATGTTGTCACCACAATGAAATAATAAATGTTTAACATGATGGACATGGTAGTTACCCCAATTTGATTATTATAAAATGCATACATGCACTGAAACATCAGACTGTGACATAAAAATGCAAAATTATTGCATCAATTTTACATAAAAATTAAATTTAAAAAATGAGAAAATCTATCATTAACAGACTACCCTATAAGAAACAGTCAAGAGTCATTCAAGATGAAATAAAAGACCACTGGATAGGAATTTTATTCACACAAAGAAATAAATAAAAGAGTACCAGTAAAGGTAACTAAGTAGGAACTATGAAAGACAGTATAAAAATATTTTTTTGTAATTCTTTTCTTTGCTTATTTGTTTTAAAAGACTACTGCATTAAGCTCTAATTATAAGTCTGTGTTGATGAATTAATAGCACATATGATATAATGTCTATGCCACTAATAGTTCAAAAGAGAGGGAAGAGAAGCAAGATATTTTGGAGAAAATTTTTTGTTTACTACCAAAATTTAGTATTAATTCAAACTAGATTTTTAAAGATTTAATTTCAGATACTTCCACTAAGAAAATAACCCCAGAAAATATATAAAAACAAATGATAAGGGAATTTAAAAAGTGTACTAAGAACTATCTAATGCACACAAGGGCAAAAATAGAGAAATTTTTAAAAAGACATAATTATAGCATTCAGAAAAGTAACAAAATGGTGGAAGTGAAGCATATCACATTGGTAAGCAAATTAAATGTAAGTGGGTAAAAAGGCAAATCAAAACACCAAGATTGGCAGAATAAATTTAAAAAAAAAACATTACCCGAATATATGCTGGCTACAAGCAATACACTTCCAATTCAAAAACACTAATAGGTTAGAAAGATGTATCATAAAGGACAGACGCAGTGGCTCATGCCTATAATGTCAGCACTTTGGGAGGCTGAGGCTGGTGGATCACAAGGTCAAGAGATCGAGACCATCCTGGTCAACATGGTGAAACCCCGTCTCTACTAAAAATACAAAAAATTAGCTGGGCATGGTGCCGCGTGCCTGTAGTTCCAGCTACTCAGGAGGCTGAGGCAGGAGAATTGCCTGAACCCAGGAGGCGGAGGTTGTGGTGAGCCGAGATTGCGCCATTGCACTCCAGCCTGGGTAATCTCAGCTCACTGTAATCTTCGCCTCCTGGGTCCAAGGTATTCTCCTGCCTCAGCCTCCTGAGTAGCTAGGATTACAGGCATGTGCCACTATGCCCAGCTAATTTTTTTTTTTTTGAGATGGAGTTTCGCTCTTGTTACCCAGGCTGGAGTACAACGGCATGATCTAGTCTCACCGCAACCTCTGCCTCCTGGGTTCAGGCAATTCTCCTGCCTCAGCCTCCTGAGTAGCTGGGACTACAGGTATGCGCCACCATGCCCAGCTAATTTTTTGTATTTTTAGTAGAGACGGGGTTTCACCATGTTGACTAGAATGGTCTCGATCTCTTCACCTCGTGATCCACCCGCCTCGGCCTCCCAAAGTGCTGGGATTACAGGCGTGAGCTGCTGTGCCCAGCCCCTCTTTTTTTTTTTTTTTTTTTTTTTTGGTGGGGGGAGAGGAAGGGAGGGAAGAAGGATGGTAGGGTGGAAGGAAGGGAGAAAGCGGGGAGGGAGGGAGGGAGGGAGGGAGGGAGGGAGGGAGGGAGGGAGGGAGGGAGGGAGGGAAGGGAAGGAAGGAAATCAAGCAATGAGAGAGACATTGCCGACCTGGATCTAGAGGTTTACAAGTTGATTTTTTTTTTTTTGAGAGAAGGAAAGAAAAAAAAAAAAAAATAAGTAAAGGAGAGGAAGAAAGAGGAAGAGAAAGAGGGAGAGTAAATGGAAATATTGCTTTATTTTGAAAAAACTTGGTATTAATAATGGCCAATCAATGTTTCATTTAAACTTATGGGTAGGTGTGATGTGGTATTGACAAGAATGTATATTTTGTGTATTTTAAGTGGAGAGCTCTATAAATATTTATTAAGTTTACTTGTTCCGGATCTGAGTTTGAGTCCTTGATATCCTTATTAATTTTCTGTCTCATTGAATCTAAGTCTCGTATCTGGGTGTTAGGATCATTAGCTCTAGTTGTTGCATTGATCCTTTTACCACTATATCTTTGTTGCTTTAATATCTATTTTATCCGATACGAGAATTGCAACTCCTGCTTTTTATTTATTTATTATTTATTTTTGCTCTCCATTTGGTTGGTAAATCTTTCTCCATCCCTTTGTTTTGAGTCTTTGTGTATCCTTGCATGTGAAACAGGTCTGGATGTAACATGCCATTGGGTTTTGGCTGTATCTTTTGATTGGGGGATATAGTCGATTTAAATTTAGGGTTACTGCCATTTGATGTTGACTGGCTGTTTTATCCATTCGTTGGTGTAAATTCTTCTTTATGTTGGTGCTCTTTACTTTTTGGTGTATTTTTAGAAAGGCTAATACTGGTTGTTTCTTTCTGTGTGTAATGCTTCTTTCAGAAGCTCTTGTAAAGCAGGCCTGGTGGTAATAAAATCTTTGAGTTCTTGCTTGTTCATAAAAGATTTTATTTTTCCTTCAGTTGTGAAGCTTAGTTTGGCTGGATATGAAATTCTGGGCTGAAGGTTCTGTTCTTTGAGGATGTTGAATATTGGCCCCCACTCTCTTCTGGCTTGTAGAGTTTCTGCTGAGAGATCTGCTGTAAGTCTGATAGGCTTGCCTTTGTGGGTAACCTGACCTTTCTCTCTGGCTGCCCTTAGTATTTTCTCCTTCGTTTCAACCCTGGTGAATCTAACGATTATGTGCCTTGGGGTTGCTCTTCTTGAGGAATATCTTTGTGGTGTTCTCTGTATTACCTGGGGTTGAATGTTGACCTGCTTTGCTAGTTTAGGAAAATTTTCCTGAATAATATGCTGAAGGGTATTTTCCAGCTTGGATTCATTCTCTCCGTCGCATTCAGGTACACCTATCAAATGTAAATTTGGTCTTTTCACATAGTCCCACATTTCTTGGAGATTTTGCTCATTCCTTTTTATCCTTTTTTCTCTAATCTTTTCTTCGCGTTTTATTTCATTAAGTTGGACTTTGACCTCTGATATCCCTTCTTCTGCTTGAACAATTCGAGTGTTTAAACCTGTGCATACTTCTCGGAGTTCCTGTATTGTATTCTTCAGTTCCATTATTTCACTCATACTCCTCTCTAAGTTGTCTATTCTCAATAGGATTTCATCAAACTTTTTTTCAAAGTTCCTAGTTTCTTTACGTTGGGCTACAACATGTTCTTTTAACTCACCAAAGTTTGTTATTAACCATTCCTTGAAGAGTGATTCTGTCATCAGGAGGTGCTCGTTCTCCATCAAGCCTTGTTCCACTGTTGATGTGGAACTGTGATCATCTTTAGAGGGAGAGGCGTTCTGACTTTGAGTATTCTCAGCTTTTTTACGCTGGTTTCTTCCCGTCATTGTAAATTTATCCTCCTGTCGTCTTTGAATTTACGAACTTTCAGATTAGGTCTCTTGAGTGGACGTCCAGGTTGTTAGTTCCCAGGGCCAGAGCAGCGGCGTTAAAACGGATGGTGCTTTTCTGCCCAGGATTCTCCTGTCTGGCTTCCTTCTTGTGTCCGTAGTAGGCGACTCTGCCTCCCGGGGCTCCAAACCTCGGTCAGAAGGGGAACCAGTCCCGTTTACTCTGCGCCGAGGTGCCGTCACTGCCGCTGCGCTGGGCTCTGGTGTCGTGCTGGGGGCCCTTGTGGGTCCTCCGAACCTGTTTACTCTGCTCCGAGAGCTGCCGGGCCGAGGTGCCGGCGGAACCTCTGCGCCGGCCACGAGAGTCGTGCTGGCCACCCGTGTGTTTCCTCCACTGGGGGATCTTCTGCTCCGTGAGCGACCAGTATTTGTCTGAAAGTGTGGCGTCCTCTAGTTCTCCGCGCTTTCCCTGAGAGCTGCAATCCCTGGATGTTAGCAATCGGCCATCTTGGATCATTCTCTTTTTTTTTTTTTAGATGGAGTCTCGCTCTGTAGCTCAGGCTGGAGTGCACTGGTGTGATCTTGGCTCACTGCAACCTCTGCCTTCCTGGTCCTGGTTCAAGCAACTCTTCTACCTCAGCCTCCCAAGTAGCTAGGATTACAGGCATGAGACACCATGCTCAGCTAATTTTTGTATTTTTTTAGTAGATATGGGGTTTCACCATGTTGGCCAGTCTGGTCGTAAACTCCTGACCTCGTGATCCACCCCACCTCAGCCTCCCAAAGTGCTGGGATTACAGGTGTGAGCCACCTCGCCCAGTGATACTCCTACTTTTAACAGTTAAACAGCCCCAGGCAGGTCCCTCAGGAGGTATCCAGAAGGCATTGTTATCACAGGAGATGACAGCTCCATGCCTGCTACTGTACCTGAGACCTTGCAGTGGGACAAGAGGTGGAGGTGGAGGGCAGGAAAAAATTTGGGTACAACAAAAAAGGGCATTGGGCCGGTTTATTCGTCCAAAGCTGCTCCGAGTGGACTTTGGATGTGCCATCTTGTTTCTGACTTCGATGGCTTCTCTGGGAGGTTTAAAGTTCTAGCCAACCAATACAAATCTATATACCTCACTTTGGAAATAGACATAGAAGGTGAATTACAAACCTCAAGGGTTATATGGAAAGGATTAAACTAATAGTGAGAGAAGGAGTTTATTTCCTATATGAGGCCCTATATGGATCACCAAAGAAAATCTTGGTAGAAGGTGCAAATGCAGCACTATTAGATATTGATTTGGAGACTTACCCTTTTGTAAGCTCTTCAAATTGTACTGTTGGAGGTGTTTGTACTGGTTTGGGTATGCCCCCTCAAAATGTAGGAGAAGTGTATGGAGTTGTGAAAGCTTATACAACTAGAGTTGGTACTGGTGCCTTTCCTACAGAGCACCAAGAAAATGAAATTGGAGAATTATTACCAACATGGGGTAGAGAGTTTGGTGTAACTACTGGAAGGAAAAGAAGATGTGGCTGGTTGGACCTCATTTTGCTCAAATATACTCATATGATCAATGGATTTATTGCATTGGCACTTACCAAGTTGGATATTTTGGACATGTTTACGGAAATAAAAGTTGGAGTTGCTTACAAGTTAGACAGTGAAATCATACCTCATATCCCAGCAAACCAAGAAGTCTTAAATAAAGTTGAAGTTCAGTATAAGACTCTCCCAGGTTGGAACACACGCATATCAAATGCAAGGACATTTAAAGAACTACCTGTTAATGCACAAAACTATGTTCGATTTATTTAAAGTATCACGACGTCAAGAGATCGAGACCATCCTGGTCAACATGGTGAAACCCTGTCTCTACTTAAAAAAAAAAAAAAAAAAAACATAAAACATTAGCTGGGCATGGTGGTGCATGCCTGTAATCCCAGCTACTCAGGAAGCTGAGGCAGGAGAATTGCCTGAACCCAGGAGGCAGAGGTTGCGGTGAGCCGAGATCACACCATTGCACTCCAGGCTGGGTAATAAGAGCAAACCTCCGTCTCAAAAAAAAAAAAAAAAAAAAAAGTTCTAGCCAACCAATACAAATCTATATACCCCACTCTGGAAATAGACATTGAAGGTGAATTACAAAAACTCAAGGGTTATATGGAAAGGATTAAACTAATAGTGAGAGATGGAGTTTATTTCCTATATGAGGCTGTACATGGACCACCAAAGAAAATCTTGGTAAGTGCCCTATACAGGTGGTGCATTTTAATATTTTATATTTTTTACAGTACTTTTCCTATGTTTATATATGGAAGATACACAAAAGGTATTTGTGTATCTTCCATATATAAACATAGGAAAAGTATAAGTTTGCCTATAATATTCAGTCCAGTAACATGCTGCACAGGTTAATAGCCTAGGGGCAATAAGCTCTACCATATAGCTTAGGCGTATAGTAGACTAAACCCTCCAGTTCTGTGTAAATACACTCTATGATGCTCACACAATGACAAAATAGCCTGGTGACATATTTTTCAGAACGTTTCCTACCGTTAAGAGACACATGACTCTATTAGGTGAAAACTGATTACTAGAAACAAAGAAGGACATTTTGTACTGCTAAGAAGGTCAACCCATCAATCTATTATAAAGGTATATGAGCTTAACAGAGACCCACAACCTGTGAAGCAAAAACTTACAGAAATAAAAGGAAACCTAGATAATTCAACAACAATAACTGGAGATGTCAGCACTCCACTGTCAATAACAGAAGAATTAGGCAATACATTAGTAAGAAAATAGAAGACTTGAACAACATTGTAAACCAACTAGATGTAACATGAACAGAACATTCCACCCCGAGGGCAGAATATATGTTCTTCCTAAGTGCACATAAAACCATAAAACATTCTTCAAGATACTAGGCCTTAACATAACCTTTAATACATTTTAAAAGATTAAAAATCATGAAGTATGTTTAACCACTTGGAATAAAATTAAAAATCAGCAGAAGAAAATTTGGGAAATTCACAAATATATGAAAACTAAACAAAACATTATTAATGAATGAAGCACAGGAAAAAATTACACACACACAAATTAGAAAATGCTTTGGGATGAACAGAAAGAAACACAACATAAAATTTAAGGGGCACAGCTAAAACAGTGCTTAAAGAAAAAAACTGTAACTTTAAATTTTTCGTCTATTTTTTAGAAGATTTTAAATCAATAGCCTAACTTTACACTATGGCATTAGAGAAGGAAGAACAAACTAAACCTAAAGCTAGCAGAGGGAAGGAAACAGCAAAGATTTGAAGGGAGATAAATACGAGAAATCAGCAAAACAACAGAGAGAAATCAATGAGACCAAAAGTTGGTTCTTTGAAAACATATTGACAAACCTTTAGCTAGACTGACCAAGAAAACAAGAGACTCAAATTATTAATATTAGGAATGAAAGGCAGGGTTTACTACGACCTTCAGAAATAAAAAAGGACTATAAGGGAATACTAAGAACAATTATGTCCCAACAAATTAAATAACCTAGAGGAAATGGACAAATTCCTATAGAAAGAAAACCACTAAACTGACTCAGGAAGACACAGAAAATATAAATAGAACTGTATTAAGAGGCTGAATTAAAAAAAAAAAAAAAACTCCCCAGAAAAGAACACGAAGGGCTAAAAGGCTTCCCTGGTGAATTCTGCCAAATGTTTAGACATGAGTTAAGGTGAATCCTTTATAGTCTCTAGAAAGAGAAAAGGGGATACTTTCCAACTCATTCTATGAGGTCAGTATTACCCTAATACTAAAACCAGACAAAAACATCTAAGGAAACAACTCTATATACTAATATCTCTTATGAATATAGACATGAAAGTCCAAGAAAGTGCAAAGACAGCACCTCTTTCTTATGGAAGTAATGCCTATTACATTACTCCATAAAGTCTAGCACATGGACTGACGGATCAATAGGATGGAATTTGAGAATACAGAAATGATCCAAATGTGTATGGAAACAAAGATTATTATTATTAATGGGGGAATTTTTCAACTAAATGAGAAGATGAAGGATAAATCCATAAATCACTGGGACAGGGCAGTTATTTGAGAAAAAATAAATAAAGCTGAAGTCCTATCTCCTTCTTCATAAAAAAGTAAATTCCAGGCCGGGCGCAGTGGCTCATGCCTGTAATCCCAGCACTTTGGGAGGCCGAGGTGGGTGGATTACAAGGTGAAGAGATCAAGACCATCCTGGCCAACATAGTGAAAGCCTGTCTCTACTAAAAATACAAAAATTAGCTGGGCATGGTGGCGCATGCCTGTAATCCCAGCTACTCGGGAGGCTGAGGCAGGAGAATTGCTTGAACCTGGGAGGCAGAAGTTGCAGTGAACCGAGATAACACCATTGCACTCCAGCCTGGCCACAGAGTGAGACTCTGTCTCAAAAAAAAAAGTAAATTCCAAATGATCACAGACTTAAGCATATAATACAAAACCATGAGTGAAGAG